TTAACCTCTCCGAGACCCATTGCCAAGCCTATTCGTTTTTGAGGGTTTTCCACATGAGATTCCCTGCTTTATCTTAGAGATTAAATTCAATTGCTATAGGAAACTGCTCCAGTTGTCTTTTATCCTGTCTTTGTTAATTGGCACCACTGTGTGTATTACCTTACCCATATCCTGTGCCGTGCTTGGAAGGGTTGGTATAGATGTTCTTCCCTGGCGCAGTATATGCCTTCCTGGGTTTTAATTCTGCACTAAAAGCTTGAACTGGACCACTTAATGTTCCATAAAAGCTACCCACGCCGGATCTAAAAAGAACCAAAACAAAACATTGTGCGATTATTAGATTATTTACATGCACGCTTACTAGGAAAACTATGATACAGACACAGAGACACAGCAAAACAATGTTCTGTTGGCTACAGAACACAATCACATCAAGTTGTGTTCTACATAAATGGTTTTTATTTGTCTTATTTATTTCGTTTGAGTTTCTTTGATATATCTACTTATTTTATTTGGTCTGTTAACATTCCTTCTTTTCCCTAACTTTGCATCATGTATGAATTTCTGCCGCTAGCGTTACAAATTGTGCCCATCTTTCACATATCATCCAAACTTTTAATAGGGCGTCTTTTGAAAAAAAAAATACAACCTGTAGAAGATTCTGCTTTCAATGTGTCTAATCCACATTGGATAAAACCGATGGAAGAATTTGACTGGATGGACCTGATAATTCAAATGCACAGATTTTGCCAAAATTCTTTCAGTCACAGCACCTTTTACAAATATGTAAAATCTTGAGCCACCCCCAGTCTAAAATGTAATGGATTTTAAAAGGGACCCCATGCAAAAAACACAAAAAGTGGGGTTCCCCCTTCACATTGAAATCCCACCTTCAAATCAGGAGCCCTTTTTCACAGCAGAATCCTCTCTTTCATGTACTCCTTTACATCAGGAAAAGCCCCTTTGCATTAGGAGCCCCCTCCTTTCACCTCAGGGTCACACACTAGGCGCTCCCGTTCAGATCAGAGCCCCCTCCTTTCACATGCGAGTCCCCCTTTCACATCACAAGCCACCCTCTTCACATTAGGAGATCTCATTACATCAGAAGCCCCCTCATCATCAGAAGCACCCTTTTTCACATCGCAGTTCCTCTTTCACATCAGGAGCCACCTTAACCCACTGTCCTACCCTCACATCAGGAGCCATAGTTGAGGCAGCATGGCAGAGGGTGGAAGGCAAATGTTCATCCTTTTCTGAATGTATCCCACCCTCCCTGGATTAGCAGCATTCGCTTCTCCGGTGCTAGCACGCGGCCTACCCACATCATGGAAAGGTCACATGTTGTGTGAAAATTTCGAGGCATCCTGGTTGACAAAGGCTGATCTACAGTGTTGGACTTACGGCTTTTTTTCCCCATTCGATGGGAGGAATGATTTTCCCAAGTTCTTCTTGGCCTGCTGAATACGATACTGCCTTCTTTGTTTCAGTGGATCTGAATAGGCTTCACCTTCAAATGTCCGTTTGAACTGAGCATCAAAGTATCCTCCTAAGGTATTAGCCATCGTCTTGGAGCCACCAGGAAACATTTGCCTGTTTTTACTTGCTGCTTCATTAAATGGCTCTGGAATAACACACACACAACATGCATTGGTTCTGCACATGAATACTTATAACACAGCACGACCTTACATTGCTGGTCAGAGGGTAAAAGGGATGTGTAGATCTTGTCTGTGAGCGCAATAACAAATAAAAATGCTTTTTCATCCACAGAGTAGGGAAAGCTTGAACCCCTGTCAGATTTTTATTGCTGACGGTTTCCCAACTGTAGATTTTCTCTTTACTTCCTCCGTGACAATAAGGGGAAAACGCTCTAACAGAGTCCCAGGTAGCCATAAAATCCCAGCAGGGGTTCTATCCCTTCCCAACTATCAAAACCTAAAGAAAAGTCTGAGCTGGAGATTCACTTTACAGGGTTTATACACTGTACATTTTATTGTATGCATATGATATTCATTTCCTTCTTCAAGAATCCATCATTAAACTGCTTTCTACTTATCTTTGATCTGATGAGGAATCATTGCTGCAAAATACTTACTAGAGCCGGGAGTGATATATTTGTCCCCAATACTGATGTAGCCCATCTCACGGAATAGACCAATTCGATCCATATCGGATTTTCCCTCTGACGTCATTGTTGCACAATGTAGATATGACACACTTTGCTGTGAACTAAAGTGGAAAAAATACATTTTTAAAAAACCTGGAAGAAACCATTCAATTATATGTTGTCACCACCACGCGAGAAATCAGTGAAAGTACTATGTGTGTAAACACAGGAATTATTTATTAGGCACTAGAGGATTATGCATTATTGACACTAACTAACCAGTGTAGGTGTCATCGCGTAACGAGAGCATGCCGAGGTATCTACATAATGTCAGTTTAAGTTTTATGTCCAATGATAAACTGCTGAGAGTTGCCAACTTATAGCAGAATTCCAGGCAAATGTTAGAAAATACCATTAAATCCAGTTATGTATTCATTACAAAAATCATGACTACAGCTAGTATAAGAACCTAAATTAGTTCATATTACCAGTCTCTAAAGAAGCACTCAGACTAAGGGAAGGAAGGTCAACAATCTGACCCAGTCTATTGCATTGCACAGTGCTGTTATTTATGCTAAAAGGCTAATTCCACCTAAACACCATGTTCCATGTTCCACCCATATTAGGGCTTATTCAGATGGGTGTACATGTGTATACAGGATGCGTGTCCGCAAAATGACCCGATCCTAGAAGTGCTGCAATTACACGACATGGTCACATCACACGCACATCCATGAGGGTCCGGGTGCCCACACTTGGATGCACACTGTTTGTGTCCAAGTTCGGTCAACCAGACCCGCACAGATGTGAGTGTGACCATGTGTAATTGCGTGCATCTGCGTCCTATCATAGGGAAGAACAGGCTGCTGCGTGCAATTACATGCAGCACCTGTCCCTTCCAGGATCAGGTCATTTTACATTTTTCTGAATGAGCCCTTAGGATGTACCATGGATGAGGTTGCCATTCTGCAGTCCCCCCCACTTACCTGAATCATGGGTGTGTGGCATGCCTATGCGGATCTATTCAATTTTGTCTGGCACTGTGACAGCGGGACTTGTACTTCTCACGCTGGCTCTAAGCATCAGGGAGAATATATTTTACTCTGCCAATACTTCTCCATTACCTTTTTTTCTTCTTTCTCAACCAGGGTCCCTCTAGAGCCATGGTTCTCAACCGGTGATTTGCAAACCAAAAGTGGGTCATAACCCTATGTTCAGTGGGTCGCCGCATGCCTTCCACTGCAATAGGGGAAGAGGCTCCTCAGCCTACCCCTAGCCCAGTACTGTCAGTTCTCACGCCAAGCAGCCTCTCAAAATATGCTGCCTGGTGCCGAGTGTCAGCTTGAGGTGGAGTAGGCTGGTGGTATGGTCGCGAGGGAACTCCATCCATACATGCATTGCTTGCAGCTCCCTCGTGTGTCCTGTATGGTGCCTGGACCGGAGTGACGTCTCATGCTGGCAGCTGGCACATCTACATGGGTGCAAGGGAGCTGTACAAGCAATGCACATATGGATGGAGCTCCGTCACAGCACAGCAGCCCACATTGGACCCCAGGATGAGGATCGACTCTAGTTCTCGTAAGGTAGGCAGACTAGGTGCATCTTAAAAAAAAAAAGGAAAAAACAAATTAAAATGTTTTTGGAGTGTGTATGTGAGAGAATGTCTGAGTGTGTGAGATTGTGTCTGTGGTTGTGTGTCTGTCAGTGTTTTTGAGGACACATTCCCACTAGTACAGTGTGTTATCACATAGTTCTGTGCGATTAATGCACTATACCACGCAATCGCACCTACCACATATTCTGGTGTGAGAGGAGTGTTGCATTGCCATTCATTTGAATGGCACCCCAAACGCACCTCCACCCCACAGTTTGATCGCCGGCACTGGAACGCGTATTACTGCAATGCCTTGGGTCGTGACTAAATAGCAATTTCGGACTTTCGGATAAGTAATCACCAATGCAGGTCTGCCATCTTCTTCCCCTCGCCAGCAGTACAGACCCACCTATCCCTTCACTACTTCACCGTTCAGCTGGCAGAAGTGAAGAAAATACCAGGTACTTCCAGGTATAGAGGAACATGTGACTCACTCTACTTCCTCTCAAGTGACAGTGCTGATGGTTTGTGATTGGCCTAGCTTTGTCACCTGGGGGCGGTGAGAGAGTCCTCAGCCCTGTGTAAGCTCTAACTAGAGAGACTCGGAGCTTACACAGAACTCAGTTTCCTTATTCCCAGTGGCTGAATGGAGCAGTGGGGGAGTGAAGGTAACGCAAACATACATACAAGTGTATATATAGCTGAAATGTTCTTGTTTATATTTGGATAGAGTAGGGAAAGGTTAACGCTCTAACAGAGTCCCAGGTAGCCATAAAATCCCAGCAGGGGTTCTATCCCTTCCCAACTATCAAAATCTAAAGAAAAGTCTGAGCTGGAGATTCACTTTACAGGGTTTATACACTGTACGTTTTATTGTATGCATATGATATTCATTTCCTTCTGCGCTCTGTTACATACCATGGGGAAAAGATCCCTCCACTTCCTGTCCCTGAGATGCAAAAGGAAGTTAAAGAGCAACTCCAGTGAAAACATATGAACCCTTGCAGTGGGACTACCACAAGCAAGGGTTATCTGCTCGTTTTTGCCCAGAGTAAAAAATAACAAAGATATACACACCTGAACCTCCGAGCCGACCGGCTATCACAGCGCTCCCTCCAGCCTGTCTCCTCCTCCACCCCAGAGATGGTATGTCTCTCGGCGTCCTCACATCCAATACAGTGTGTTGGATGTGCTGACTCGAGGATCCTTAGACTGCTGCAGTGGAGGGGGAGAGAGGCACTAGGGACCGGTCTAAGAGCCGGCCAGCTCAAATGTTTAGGCGAGCATACCTTTTTCTTTTATCCTAGGCAAAAACGAACACTTAACCCTTGCAGTGCTTTTAAAGAAGTGAGGGGAATTCCCTTTGTAGACAGCCGCCCCTTGATCGGGTGTCCCCATTGGAAGATTTCCCCTTACCGCTTGTTCCTGGGACAACACTAACATTTTGGATTTCCACTCACTTTCTTTCTCAGTGACAACAGTCAGCAGGACAAAGGGATGAATCTCCCCAATGGAGACACCTTCCCTACTCTATCCAGAATTTAGAAGAAGGCTTTGCATAGACTTTAAAGTGAACCTGATACATCTTCCTGCATGGGCAAAGCTCAGGTTTGTTTGAAATGTGGCTAACAAAGGCTGTCCCAAGCTGGCATGGCAGGTTACTGCTGTAGTGATCTATTAGGAATCACTATAACCATTATAAGAATGATAAATTGTATCAGCCCTGATGTGAGACAATATATGTGATGGTGCAGTGTTCAGTGATTTCTTCTTTTTATTTGGACTTTTCTCACAATGCTGCTTGGCCTGAAGAAGAAGGCAGATCATTAAAAGTCCAGAGAGTCCAACTGCTATAGTAATCCCTGAATACTGCTGTAGTCAGCTTTGTCTCAATGACAGAGGGGGTCAGGCTGTGCCCTCTGTATGTGATTCCCCACCCAATATATCCCTGCCCCCCAACACTGACACTACCTGCTGCCTCTGGCTCCCTCTTCAGGTGTGCTCTCTCCGCTCTTTGCTGTTAGCTGTGGTTGCCATGTAAACGGAACCGCTAATTTTATAGTGAGAGCTTCTTACACATAATCGGAATGTCAAAACTAACCGAACGTTTCTTATTCTAAACAAGACTTGGAACAATCACAGTACGATTTATTGAAACTGTCTCTGTAGATCTGTAATGTATCCTAAGCGACTCCAGTGATAAAATGGCAAACGAGAATGTATAACCCCCTTGTTGGTCGAACTTGGTGGCGTCCCTCTGTGGTTGGCTTCTACGAGAGCAGTGCATGCCGGGATTTGTAGTTTCACGCTCTCTTGTGGTAAAGTTGTCAGTAGTTGGGAGGAGCTAGGGAAAGTTCAACCAATCAAACGATCGATAGTCACCTCTGGGCCGGGTAGGTGACACGTGCTATGTGTGGAGTTTATCTGATTGGAGGAAGAAGGAGGAAGCGGTGTGTGCAGAACAGCTGCTGGTTTGTATAGCGGAGAACAGTGACAAACATGGTGAGTTATATCGCCACTGAAAAAAAACCTGGAGATCGGCATTACTCCCTTCTCATTCTGCACAGGATAGCTGCCTGGCTGTCACACCGACCCACTGGCTTCAATGGTCCGGAGTCAATAACCAGCGGGCAGAAAGAACTGCTGATTTGGGGGGCTCCAGTCATACTAATGAGGGGGGTTATTTTCATCCCACCAGTACTCGTGGTATTCCTAAAATATATATAGGGTTCAGCTTTAACCCCAACAAGTGGGGAGTGGGGGAGTTCACTCTGCATTCCACAGGCACTAACCAGGGGGGCACTCTTCCTTCCACTAGCAGTGAGAGGGGGCATTCTTAATCCCACCAACAATAACATTCATCCCATTGACACCATGGAGATGGGGCATCCCTACAGTGACATTAAAGGCATTTTAAATGTTGAGGCATGCTCTGCTGCTTGCTAACAGTAGATATTTGTAAAAAAAAACGAGCCTTTAATGCCACTTTATTTTCACTGGCACCAACAAGGGGGTGCCAGTTCATATCACTAGCACCAAATGAGCACTTTTCGCCCCAATGATACCAATGACGGAGGTACTCCACTGACATCGTTGGGGGGACACTCTTGATCCAACTGACATCAACAACAGGGGGCACTCTTCATCCCACTGACACCAGTGGTGGGGGAATTCTTCAATGTACTGACACCAACGATGGGCAGCACTCTTCATCTGACTGACACTAACCAGGGGGTACCTTTCATTCCACTGACACCAACAAGGTAGGGCACTCTTTATTCTATTGGCACCAACTGGGGAGGGGGGGGTGCTCTTAGATTCCAATGACTCTAAGTGAGGGGGCGCTTTTCATTCTAGTGATAGCAATGCGGGGGTAAACTGCATACCTCTGACACCAACAGTTGACGGTATGCCTAAACGCTGCACATTACATACTCTTGCCACACCTCTTAATTGAATTAACCACACCCACTTTTCACCTTTATTACTCTATAAAAGTTTGACCTGGGTT